CTCTTCAAAATTAAAGGATAATCTGAAAAATACACTCATTGATTAAAGTTTTCAATTAATGTATAATGGCGAAATTGTTTATGTGAACTACTTGCAAAACTAGATTTCTAGTACAGAAAATATGCTATTAGGTGACTCGTAACATGTTGCTGAATGGATGCAAGTTTGATTCCAGGTGTGTAGTTTCGTTTAGAGTTAATGTGGTTTCCAAGAATGATCAATATTTATTAATTATGGCTCATTGGCATCATTTAAATGAAGGGCAAAAGTGGCAGTTAATGGTAGAAACCAAGGGAGAACAACCCAAATGGGAATCACTCAAGATTTGAATTCTCTCAAAGTGTCACATCAGGAAGTTGAACTGATTTTTAAGCAGTGAATATTCATAAGAAATTTGTATTAGATATTCAGAAAATGAAATGCACAACATAGGTCAATAAGCGTCGCACTTGAAAAAAGAAATAGGTGAGAAAAGGTAGGTAAAATGAGCTAAAATGCAAGTCTGGATAAAATGGAACGTACTCTTCACAGAATAATTTACCAGTTTGAAATTTAATATATGGAGAATAATTAATTAGTAATTTTGGTTAATCTTTGGATTATGGTAACTTGCCGATTTTTCGGCGAAAATTTGGTGACCAACCCTGCTACAGCAACTTGCTAGTTTTTGTTTAGACGCCATTTTGTTTTCACGAAGTAAAGGCTTTTTTTTTTTTTTATACTCAACATTTTTTTCCAACAATCTGCTAGCGGAATTAAGCTTATGCTAGAACTTTTATGGAACTAAAGTGCTTAATCGTGACGAAGATTAGGTGCGAAATTGGGAGAAAGTGCAGAATCGCAAACTGCTTGCCGCGTTTTTAAGAATTGCACATACACGGTATCCATGTACACGTCGACCTATTTTCACTTAAAAAAACATTCCAGAATTGCACAAAAATGGCATTGTACACACTCTTGACTTTATCCATGTACACTGCTAAATTCCTAGATAGTAACCTTAATTGCCTTACCAAAATGTCGCCAACTACCTGTTACCATATTCCACAGATTAGCCGTAATTTTAATTAATAATACAGTTAATCTCATAAGTTTAGGTAATGAATGGGAAGCACTTCCGCAAAGGATCCGTTAAATGTAAACATCGCCAAACATGGCGATAAAAGTCGAAGCTGGTAACCCGGCGAATTGGTATGTTGGAGGTAGCAACCTGGTTTGCTTTTAGACAGAGAATATTTCTCGTCTGTTCGGGGCTCCATTTTACCGCTGGCTAGGCAGGGGTGTGTGAATATAACACGGCTTTTTAGAATAATATGGCTGTGTTCTTACGTAATTTTTAAAACACGCAGAACCACAGGATTCCTAAAATATTATGATTAACGTGGGCCGCAATAATATACGCTTTAAATAATTAAGTTTTTATTTTAATTACTGTTACTTTGATTTGAATACTTTTTACCTAAAGTAATAAGAATTAAATCAGTTTTCATGCTTAAAAATTTGATATATTTTAATGCATTTTTAAAAATTACTTTTCAGAGGATGCTAGGTGTTTATATACAATAGATGATTAGAATGAAAAAAAAAAAAATTATTGGTTCTCTGAGATGACAAAATACGTTTATGTATTCCCAGGGGGCATCAAAATTAGTAAACCACTGCTTTGAGTAATTAATCAAAGTTTGAATTAATCTTGAAAGATAACAAGATGTATAATGTTTATTCTAGTTTTATTTACAATGCTACTTTAAAAAATTTGAATATTATTGAAGATACTTGGCATAGTGAAATTTATTATGAAAAAGACAGTTGTTTCAAAATAAAATATTTTAAGCTATCAGCAAGTAAATTCAAAAAACAACTTTGAAAAATTGCTTGTGTAAAATGAATGTTTTAAATGTATTATTTAGTAATTAATCTATTAAATGTACAGTAGCACTAATTATTAAACATAATTTTGAGAATATCGACAAGCAAAGCACTTAATGAAAAAAACACTTTTTACTAAAAATATTAGTATTCTGTATGAATGACAGAGAATATATATAATGAATACCATGGCCAAATACCTATATAAAGAAAAAGAAAGAAAAAAACAAACAACAACAACAACAAAAAAAAAAAAAAAAAAAAAGTAGTATTCTCTACCTTGACACTTGCAAAAGTAATGCTGCTATGCAACACATAGTTAATTTCTGATTACATGATACTGCATGCATTTTCTTCAGATTTTTCCTACAACTGATATTGAATACTGGTAGTTTGATCTGGTTTCATATCATGGTTAAAGGGCTGGCTGCATGGTTGATTTTTCTAGTTTTCCTCATATGTAATGCAAATACAAGCCAGTTTCCCTTAGAAAAATCAAAAACTGTATGTGTGAAGTGTAAAACAAATTTGTCAAGAACACTGTGAAATAGAAGCTTCATGTATAAACTAAAAAATATCTAATTCTTTTTGAGCCTAATTGATTTGAAAATTAATTATGTAACTCATTGTCCATGTAATAATTCTGCATAATTTGGATTATAATTGCATTACAAAATAAAAAAACACAAATTTCTCATAGAAATCAATGATTCCTAGTCATCTGAAGAAAATGTAAGTAGTTTTATTTGTTATTAATTTTAAAATTAACATTATTTTTGAGTTATTTTATATAATAAATGTTGCAATTAATACAGAATGCATTATCTTACTGAATTGTAATAATATGTTTCATTCGTATGTCATTTAATTGCGACGGGCGTTCTCCTGTTAAATAATACAGCGTGCGTTCTCCCGGGTTAACTATACACCGCTAAATGTCATTATCAACCTACTTATTTTACTTCTATATGCTAAATATCTTATAACTTGACTTGTACACCGCTAAAATCATGACTTCCATATGATAAATATCTTGCAACTTAACTGCACACCGCTAACATAGCCGTGGTGAGATTGGCGAATAAATACGCATCAACGCCTTTGCGGAAGAAAACCCGGTTTAATCCTAGTATCCGGTGCACACGGGATTTGGCTACTTTTGGCGACTTTTATGATGAGCAGTAAAAACGGGACATATACTATGAGTAGTAAACGGATCATTCAAAGAATATATATAGTTAAACATAGTATATACTATGTCTATAGCATTCAAAGAATATATATAGTTACATAGTATGTACTATGTAGTGATAGTGTATACTATATACATAGACGTTCTTTGGGTCATTTTTGGTGTTGGCGATAATTTTCAAAATCGCGCAGAGGCTGCACCGTATACTAGGATTTTACCCTATTAATGTTTAAAAGCAAATACTAATTCTTAATTACTATCTTTGAAAAATTCTTCTATTTGATTTTATCATGTCCAGCTGTATATTATTGTGTATGTCAAAAACAAATTATGGAAAATATGATAAATTTTGTTGTTTGTATATATAACATTCATTTCCTTCATTGGGTTTTCAGTAAAATCCTAGCATATGGTGCAGCCTTGGCGCGATTTTGAAAATTATCGCTAACACAAAAAATGACTCAAAGAACGTCTATGTATATACTGTACACTACATACACACATATATGTCAAGAGATGGTCCCGGGTAAAAACGGGAAGCACTTCAGCAGAGAACCCGGTAAATGTAAACATCGCCAACTTTGGCGATAATAGTTCAAACCTGGTAACACAGCGGATTTATCCTATTCACTTGTTCGAAGTTTGCAACCATTCCTCTTGGGTTCATTTTGTTGAATTATCACTGTCGTTCGCATTTGCGTTGTTCGCATTTATATTATTCTTCTCTTATTTATTATTATTTTTTCTGAATTTTTTAACAACAAATGGATAGAAATATTTTCGTAGATAGATGCCGGTTCTCAGTTCGGGATGAAAGGAAGAAAATACGGCGGGAGGGGTGAATGCTAATTTGTAACACGGCTGTTCACGTTGTGTTCTTAATTATTAACAGTTCTAAGAACCAGCAATTTAAATAACTAAGAAATGCTTTTATTTTTATTATTGGTTATTGTCATCTAAAATGAGAATAAATAAATTTTCTGGCTTAAATTTTAACAATATATTGCTAATGCTTTTCTAACAATAACCTTTCAGAGGATGGCTGGTGTGACATAATCAGATGATTAAATTGAAATAAAAAATATTATTGATTATCTAAGATGACAGAATAGTTTGATGCATCACAATGGTCATCAAAATTAGCAAACCACTGCTGGTGTAAGGAATATATTGTTTTCTGTATTAACTGGAATTTAAGACAAATTTTTTTTCGTTTATCACGTTTAACCGGTTAATTTCAGTACATTAATACTAATTTATATTTTTCAAATGAATTTTTATTTCCGTTATAAATGCTTATATATTGTCTTATACTTAATATATTCTTTTCTGTGCTAACTTGAATTTAATACAAATTTATTTAGTATATCACGTTTGACTAGTTAGTTTTACATCTACATGCTTATTATCTGTGAATTTTTACTACCATATGCTTAATATATTGTTTTGTCTGCTAACTTGAATTTACATGCACTAAAAATCACGTTTGCGGCTCGGCTCAGTGCCGATGAAACGCGAGCTTGGCGTGTAAAAATGCAACGGCGCCAACGGGTTCTTTCCCGAAGCGCCAACGGGTTCTCTGCGGATGAAAACCCTAAAAAAGTAGATATGGTTACTATTTTACAATCAGGCATTTACTCCATATTTGCTTTTTAATCCAACAATGTTTCATAATCATTCATTTCTCAATATTCAAGACTTGAATATTTAAAATGATCTAAAATCCCAATAAATTAGAATAATTGATTGCCCATGGACAGATGGCTGAAGGTAAAATTCATTCAACTGAGTAATTTGAAGCTTAATTATGTAGCTCACTTAGAATTTTGAAGAGAAACAAAAACACACTAGAATTAAAAACAAAACATATCAATAGCATATGAAAAAATAGTGAAATATAACATTAGTAAGTGAATTTTTAATTACCAACGGTACATACTTTGATATAATCAGAGGGTAAGTTAATAAAATGATTTTAAATCTGAAACTTGATAAAAATTTTAAAAACGAAACAAATAATGCAGATATTTATGCCTGTTTCTTAAATGATACTCATGAACACCGATAGAAATAATTAAAAACCATACAATGTCAAACAAATATGACTATTTTAAACATTAGTTTTAAATCCTAAATAACGAATCACATATTGCATCACGAATTTCTGATAACTGAAATCTATCATCTGACAGACAGACAGACAGACAAAGTAGACAGATGTCAAGGCGGTTAGAATACATGGAGATGCCCTGCGAGCAGTCCAAGTGAAGCCAAAAAGGGGGGAAAAGCATGCCCTTAGTAGTCGTGGCTTTAGAAAGATTGACGAGCTCTTCAGCCAATGAGGCAGAACCTAGCCACACCCAGTTTCGTAAATTAAAGACCGTGAAATCTTCGCGCGCTTTTTCCTTCACTTTTTCCCGCCATTTCATTTTATTTCTACATTTTCTATCATCTTGTAGACGGCTGCAATATTGTTCCGAGAAGCAATTTTTATTCCTGCCAGAATGGTAAATTCCTGCGTCGCTTTCGGCTGTACAGATAGAAGAATAGCAGGATCCGGTATTACATTTCACAGGTAAATATTCTTTTAACATATATACTATCATTTATTTAATTATACTTTGCTCAAAGTTAGATAAAAATTTGCTGTGCATGTTTAAAACATATCCAAGGAAACGTCTGCAAGTGCTGATAATTGTATCAATTCTAATGATTATCAGGATATGCAGAGGAAAAATATATGTACAAAGGGACTGATTCCCTTAAAATGAGTTAAATGAGAAATGCATTATGTAATTACATGCTGTTATTAATGAATGCTAGCAATAAAGGTACTGTGAAAATAAATAAATAAATACTCAAACAATTAATTGATTACATTTTAGTTATTCTAAATATATACAGGTATAATTCTCAATTTTCCATGTTAGAAATACTACTTACGTTTTGAAAAATATTAAATTGTATGAACAATGATAAAAAATAATATTTAAATTCTGCATTGTTATTTTTAAAACTCCCACAAATTTCACCCCAAATTAAATCCTGTCTGTTATTAAATATTTACTTGAACAGAAAATAAAATTAAATACATGAAATATGACTTGTAATATAATATGATCACACCTTTAAAATAACGCGTTTTCTTTTCCACGATGAGCTGACCACTCCCCCTTCCCTTGTTTACTTACCGTTTTGCTTTTACAACTCAGTTAATTACGAGTATAATACTCAAACCATTAATTGAAGAAAAATCTGAGAATTATAGATGTTTCTTCGCGCACGTCACACCGAGAAAATACTCAAACGCTTTTCTGACGGCTTTTCAAACGCACATTTCAATTATTCTACTTATTTATGCATGTTAAAAAAACATTCTTTTTATATGGAAATGAAATCCGAAATGTAGACATTATTTCAATGTAACCATTCAGTACCTTATAACCTTTCACGTCTTCACATAAGAAATCAGAAAACACACTCAAAACTTCAAACAAGCTGACGTTTAACCTCACTTCACATAGTAAGGGAAGCGTTTTCTTGCCCTCACGAGGCGTGGCTTATTTGCTTCCCCCGGCTTCACTCTCCTCGTATTGCGACAGCAGAGATGCCATCTCCATGTATTCTAACCTCCTTGACAGATATCTTTTGTTGCACCCGCTAAGTCTTTCTGCACCGATGGGCGAAAAATCAAGCATAGGTGCAAAGGAAAGGTATATAGAAAGGGGGGCAATTTCGTATTTCAGAGGAGAGTAAAAAGGAACTTCGTATATTTTATACGAGTTCGAAAGGCCAGGAAGAAAAGATGGGACAAAATAAAGTAAAAAATAAATGGCCCAAAAGTAATGGAGACGAAAAAAAAAAAAAATTTATTTATAATTAAAAAAAAAAGGGCCTATAGAAAGAAAAGGAAAGGAAGTAAGAAGAATTTTGTTAAAAAAAAAAAAAAAAAACACGATTGTGTTCATGAGTGTAGTCAAAGTTGTTATCATTTACATTAAATACAGTCTTCCAGGTGTGTGTAATGAGTGTGTTTTGTAAAGCTGAATAGAGGTAAAGATGGGGAAAATTAATAATAAAATAATAAATTTTGGGGGTCCAGTCACATAACAGTATAAGTCAAGTTTAGAGGCAAACTTTTGCTATAACAGGGAAACTAAAAATTTAAATTTTTTAAATTTTAAACTTTTTTTTTTTTTTACATGGAAACCAATATTAGCCTCTACCTTGAGACACAGTAACAGAAGACACATAAGATCAAGATACATATAATATCATGCAAAGTTATACATTAAACTAAGTAACATCATCTATTGCGGTTTCCAACATATTTATATATTCAGAAAACACCATCAGATAAAATCATAAATCCAAAACAAGGCGAGAACATATCAGCAAAAATAAATAAGTAAATAAATTACAGAGTTTTTTTTATTATTATATTAATTAATTTTTTTAAAAAATAAGCATTTTATTTATTTATTAAGTTAATGGTCATAATTTATTATATGTGTACTATTTTATCAATTTGAGGCACACTGTATTAATATATGCTTTTAATTTAAATAGATAGGAAATGTAGATTAAAGGAGCAAAAACTACAACTCTGTACATTCATTGAGGCCCGAGATCGTGTTTTTAGCTCTCGAGACATTCCTCAAAGGGGCCCCAATGGGTAGGGCTAACACTACTGATAAGGGCTACTGATAAGGATAGCGTCCCTACGAGATGGTAACCAAAAAAGAACCACATGATTTAAAGCAATTACTAAGTATTTAATGCCAAAATATAATAAAATGAGCATAATAATAATAATGATCATAATAAATGAATGAATTTAAAGGTACTTTAGTGACAGATATTTGATTTAGCTTAGAGAAAAGAAGTTCTACTTATCTGAACGCTCCGTCTTAGTGCTGCAAAAGATTTAGGCCTCTACCTTGAAGACACGACGTCCGTTAACACATCTGATGTTTGCAGATATATGCGACGACAAACGCTGAGAGTTTACGGAAGTTAGCGGGTCTCACGTGACCGATGGCAACACTAAGAGGTTACCGTAATTTGCGCCAAAATTGAAAAATGAAGCCAAATGTAATTTTTCGAAGTAAGCAATACACGTTTTCGCCATTTTGCTTGCACGTGCTGCTGTGGGGGAAGCAAGGTACGTAGTATTAGCGCTGATATTTTGTGTTTTTTTAATTATCTTATTTTAGTTATGTGTTTGTCTAAGCAATCTGAAAAGATGAAAATACTCATAATCGGGGATTCTATGATTTAAATATTTACAAGAATATTTGTCTGCGAATTTACCTGATTACGAAGTTGATTTTCTTTGCTTTCCAGGAGCTAGGATTGAAGGGTTGACACGTGAGATTGCTTTTATGAACAACCATTTTCATTTAGTTTTTGTCCACGTTGGTACCAAATGACGATTTAGATGAAATTCATCGTAAATATGGTTGTCTATATAAGGGAATTGAACGATTAAACCCGAAGGTCATTCTGTTTTCAGGTGTTCTCCCACGATGCCCGGATTTATATCGAGATTGTAACACGTATCACCTACAAGAACTTAATAGGAAGATACTAAACATAAATTCAAGATTTCTCGCAACATACGAAGGTAAAGATGGGTTTTTCTTTTGCAGCTCTTTTGACTATTCTTGGAGTACTTGTTTATCCAGAGACGGTTTACACCTAAATCGGAGAGGTAATCAGCAGCTGGGGAAAATTTTTGTAAAAGATATCAGGATAAGTTTGACTGTTGCAGAGGTAAGTGCACCATTTTGTTCTACATCCCTTAGCAGTTTCCCAGCATTAACCAGTATTCCTTCTGTTCTGAGTACTCATTTGGGTAGTAATCTTGGTGCTTCTGTTTCCAAACCACTCTTTTCAGATGTTGTGAAACGTTCTTTAGTTTCCAGTGTTCGGGTTTGTAATTCTAGAGATTTTTTGTGCCATGTTTCTTCTTCTAAACCGCTTTATTCAGATGTTTTAAAGCATGATTGTTTTACTAGCTCTGTTTTGAATACTAATCCCAGTATTCCGAGTTTATCAGATTTTCCACTTCTTGAATATTCACTTGGCACTAGTGTAAATTTTTTGGATCCACCTCCTAAGCCACTTTACTCAGATGTTTTAAAACATGGATTTTCTAGTATGATTTTGGATAGCAGTTCCAGTGTTTTGGATGTATTGGATTTTCCAGCTCTCGAATGTACTGTCCACACTACATCAGGTGTTTTTAAATTCTACTGGATCTCAACTTCCTGATACTGCAGCTATTTCTGAACTTCCTGGAAATTCAGTGTCTAATTCTCAACCTGCAGGCTCTTCGGATTCCAATTCATCATCATCTCATCTTGGTATCAGTTTCAATTCTTGTACTTCCATGTCGAATTTTCCAGTTTTTAAGGGTTCATTTGTTTGCTCTGATTCAGATTTGCAGAAGGCTACTATATCTGTATCTAAATTTTCTTTTATGTCGTTAGTCACTTCTCAGCCTACTGGCTTTTGAGGCTCTGTTTCATCTACTCAGCTTGTCACCAATTCCAATACTTGCCCATCAGTTGTTGGTTCTTGTGCAAATTTTAATTCTTACCATCCATATTTTCATTTTAACAAGTTTTCTATTCTTAAAAATTATTCAGAATGTTTCTAACATTAAGTTTGGGGGTGCAAATGATTCTAATCAGGGTGAAAGTAATGTACAGAAATCTGAAAATGGGTATGTTGAAGAAAACTGCAAAGTTATTACCTCTGTTAACCCAAATATAAAGACTATAATTTGTCCATGTTGTAAGAAAGATTTCTCTTGTAAAGAAACTTTATCAAGACACAAACGTAACTGTAAAATTTTAAATAAGGATAATTTATGTACTACCATAAAGAATGATGAAATAGAAAATAAATATCCAAGAACGTGCGAGGTATGCATGAAGTCATGCTTCAATATATGCTTCAAGACAGTCATTTTTTAATCATAAAAAAAGGTGTAAATCTGTGTCTTCTGAAATTGATTCAAAATCATATATTTGTGACAACTGTGAAATAGACTGTAAAACCCGCAGTAACCTTTTTCATCATAAGAAGTTTTGCTGTTCTAAAAATAATTTAAATATTCGTAAACCGTGTGTTTTTTCCTGATTGCAAGGCATCCTTCCAGTTTATTAGTGATCATAATAAACATTTGGCTGAATTTCACAATTCTGAGATGGATGTGAAGGAGCTTACATTTTCATCAATGGTGGAGTTTCAGCTGTGGTTAGAATGTCATTCTAAGGAAACATTCAGTTCTTTTAAGAAGTGTTCTGGAGTAGTAAAACATAAAGTTAATAAAGCATACCATTATTATTGTTGTCACTTCACTGTAACACAAAAAAAAAAAAACCAGTGCCAATTTCAAGTAGAAAAAATCTTAAAGGTTCTTTACCATTAGGCTTCAGATGTCCATCCAGAATTTTAGTTTCTGAGGAACAAGATCTTGCGACAGCTATTTTTTATTCAGGTCACAATCATGAGCTGTCGTTTGAAAATACCAAATTTCAACAGCTTAGTCAGAATTGTCGTGATCAAATCAAAACTTATGCTCAGTTAGGTGTGTTTCCACCGATCAAATTCAAGAATTTATCTGAGATGGAAGTGGATCACGTGATAATAGAGAGAGCTTAAGTATTAAAGATAATTTTGTAACATGTAGGACTATAAATTACTATGTAAAGCGTGTAATGATTTCTTCTCTTAGTGATGATTCACTTTCTGTTGCTGCCATAGTTGAGAAACTTAGGCAGGAATCGTATGACCCTATTCTTATTTACAAACCTCAAGGAAAACCAACATTGTATGGTCCGAAAGGCCTTGACACACTGTCTTTTGCACTAGGATTGCAGACAAAGGAGCAAAAAGAAATGATGATTAAAGGTTGTAGCAGGATTTTATGTATAGATTCTACTCACAAAACAAATCAGTATGATTTTTATTTGCTAAATTTAATTGTCCCAGATGAATTTGGTAGTGGTTACCCCGTAGTAGCACATTTTATTTCAAATCAGTTGGATCAGGATACGATGTACAATTTATTTCTTAGTATCAAATGTGTAATACCTGAGCTTAATATTAATTGTTTAATGACAGATGATGATAAAACTACACATCCTGCATTTGAAAAACCATTTGGTCCAGGTATTAAACATATACTATGTAAATGGCATGTACATCGTGCATGGCAACGTAGTTTATTTCGAATGGTTTCAAGTCAAAAACTTAGGGATGAAATTTATTTTAATTTAGTTATATTGCTTGAAGAAACTAATTCTTCTTTATTTATTTCTATGATGGATAATTTCCTTCAAAAGTTTCGAGCTGTTGCACCATCGTTTGTAAATTATTTTGAGGAGTATTATTATTGCCGAGCAAGTCTGTGGTCAATGGCATACAGAAACTTCCCTCATGCATTCACAGATACTAACATGTATTGCGAGTCATTTCACAATAAATTGAAAACTATGTACTTAAAACGTAAATTTAACAGACGCCTCGATAATTTAATTAATGTGCTTTTAAAAATTGAAGAAGATATTTACATGGCTTATAAGTATAAAGTTGAAATTAACTGTAAAGAGAGCATCTACCCAGCCAACTTATAATAAATGACATGAATCTGGAATGAAAATACCTGATAGTGATGTAACAGAAACACATCCTTGTTTGTGGTCTATAAAAATCACAGACACGTAAAAATATTCAATATACAGTTAAGCGGTTGCATGAACTATGTTCAGAAACAGATCATTGTTATTCAAAGTGTATTAACCTCTCCTGTCTAAATCTGTGTCATCATTTATATAATTGTAATTGTCCAGACTTCAGCACACTATGTAAACACGTACATAAAATACACTCAATTACATGCAGGCAACCAAGTCCTTCTGTAATTGCAACAGATATCCTTAAAGAAGAAAACTCCTCCCCTCTAGAATTGATTAAAAAATCTAATGCTATTTCAGATACTGTTGTGTGTAAACACTGAATCTAAAATTAACACTTGTAAGACTTTAATGTCTGAATTATTAGTTATGTTGCCGCATCCGACAATCCAAAAGATATTAATACCTAGTATAACAAAGAATTTAAAAGATATAGTTTCTAATTGTAAAGGTGCAATAAAATCAAACCATTTGAAAGATTTTTCTGATAAAATGCCATTTACTCAGGTTGCTCCAAATTTAAAATTATCACGTCAAACTCTGTTTCGTACAACATCTGTGAAAGGTATAAAACGTAAAATTCTAGATTATCCCGATACTTATAATAAAAAAAAAAATGTCAAGGAAGGTTTGTTAGGGTTATCAAATAATATTAATGTGAATGATCATAAATCATCACAGGATACCACAATTAAGGTTAAGGGTAGCAATTTACTTAAATATAATTCTTTTACCTCTGAGCTTAATGTATCCGATATTTCAAAATGTGTTCTGCGAGCTGGGGAAACACTTCTAACATTTCTCGATATAAAATCTCTTGATCCTTATATTTCAAATGAAGAAATTTTAGCCCTGAAGGCTGTAAATAATAATTTTCAGCTTGGCTGGCTTAGTGACAATATTATTGATGCTTTTTTTTTTTTTTTTTACCATTCTTCATAATACTTCTTCCATAGCTGCCAAATGTTACCATACACCATTTTTTCAGTCAGGTAATAAAACTCAAAATGTATGGAAAAAAGCTGATTTTGCATCTGTTGATTTCTTTTTTATTCCAGCTCTTATCAATAATAATCATTGGGTTTTACTTGTTGCAAAGATTAAAGATAGAATGTTTCAGTTTTATGATCCACTTGGTTTTAATGCCGTTCAAAATTCTGTGTATTCATTAATTCATTTGTGGCAAAGTATCCTTAATAATGTTTTAGAGATATATGTGATAATTGGTATTGTTCGTTTCCCAATCACGCTATTCAGAATGATGGCATGAGTTGTGGAGTATTCATTTGTTATTATGCCTATCAGATTAGCAGAAATTTAGATGTTAAACAGGCTTTCAATTCATATGAATTTAGGAAGTTTATTTTTACACAATTAGGTGGAGAGATTGTGAAAATATAGATGTTAAATATATAATTCATTTGTTTTAAATATTATTTAATTTTTGTTTTCTGACCTATTGATATAGCATTAAACTCACGTAGGTAGTATTTTATCTTGTGTTTCCTGTGCCCTAAGCTTTTTTATATATTTTACTGTCGTAACTTGTAAATTCAAAGACTGCATTTAGTATGAATTTTCTTTTTTCTTGCTTTAAACCTTGAATTGAGTGTTTGTAAAATTTAATTCCGAAATGTATTTCCCGTATTAAATTGGTCTTGTCTTGTTATTTTTAGTAACACTTGATGGTACTTAGCTTCAAAATTGGCTGTTTAAAGCCTTGTAACATAGTTTTTATATAGGCCTTAAATTATCATTTTTCTTTCAACTAGCTGATATAATTTTCTTTGAATGTTCAGAATTGACGTTACCAAAAGAGCAGCTATGTAAAAATGTTAGTTTAGGGGAACCAGCATGGTAACGAGCTTGCACAGTACCTCTTGGGTGGCATGGAAACCTGTGTATTTTTATATTGTCTCAATGGATTTGAAAAAAAAAAAATTTTAAGTATTCTTTATAGTTAATGCTTAAGTTAGATTTTCACAATGTGTTATGTGTTAAAATACTGTTTTTATGCTTTTCTAGTACTATAACCTTTTAACAGTGACAGGAGGATAAAAGCACCAAAAATAAACCCACTGTGGTTATTGCCTATGCGACAAAAGTAAATTCTTCTAGCTATTGCCTATGATCTAAAGTGATACTTCGGTTCCTTTGCAAAGTAGTATAAACACAAAGTAAAGATCCAATTGTAATTCAAAAAGTAAAAACTCAAAATATATGAAATACTAATTAAGAAAATTAGAAAATGGTGAAAGCTTAACTTGATTCAAAGTTAAAAGTTTATATGTATGTAGAATAAAGTTTAAGCTATCTCAAAACATATTAGAAAAAAATACTACAAAAAATGTTAAAAAACAAAAACTACTACTAAGCAGCGGTAAATGGGAAAATGCAAGGCGACGCTGCTTAGCTGTAGTTTTTTTTGGGGGGGGGGGTAGTATTTTTTCTAATGTGTTTTGAGATAGCTTAAACTTTATTCTACATATTAACTTTTAAGTTTAAATCAAGTTAAGCTTTCTAATTTTCTTAACTATTATTTCATATATTTTATGTTTTTACTTTTTGAATTACAATTGAATCTTTACTTTGTGTTTATACTACTTAGCAAAGGAACCAAAGTATCACTTTAGCTCATAGGCAATAGCTAGAAGAATTTACTTTTTAAATTTTATTTACATAAATATATTTAATGTACATGTAAAATTTCTTTTTCATACATTCTTAATGTTAAATTTTCATTTTTGTCTTATGAGAATATGTTTT